GGCCAATCGAGTATGAAGTGAAACCTTGGAGAGCTGGAGCTCATTTCCTCTGCGCCTACCTCTTTTATTTCATAATGTGAAGCTCGTTGTGGCTACTTTTAGCTGACAGATACTGTGGGAAAAAAGCTAGATTTCTTGGGATTGTTGAGTTTTTTTCCTACCTGTAACTGTGAATGAGGGACCAAGATTAATTTTTCAGATTACAGATATATTATATCTGTGACAAATTTACAGGTTATAAAGCGATTTTACGTTTTAATTTCACTTTATGCCACAGGTTGTCTACGGCTGTTATTGGCAAGCAGGACGGCAGGATTACAATTTATTTCTTTAATTAATTCATAATTAATTTGAATTAAACGTTATTAGATACACAGTATACAGCTCACGAGTGTTCTCATTTTCACATTTTTCTTTTCATCTTTTCATCTTCTTTTATAACAGCACAAAGGCCTGACTGTATGTGAGGCAATAAGGGGTTCCTGCCACATTGGTCGAGAGAAAAAAAACATAAAAAGCGGTCAAAGATGGGAAATAATGAGAGGAAGAACAGAAGTACATGGTAAAAATATGCATTTGAACTTTGTGTCCTCAATGTGAACTCGCAGTGAACTCGAAAACTTAGGTGTCATCTATTAAGGAAAATGGCTACTGGAAAAGTAACAAAACTACTTGCAAAGTGGCAAGAATAACTTGTACCTTACATGGAGTAAAGAAAGTGCAGACTAAGCAGTAATCAGAACTCGTGGTTGAAACACCTCATGTTACCTTGAATGTATCGAAGCTGTGAAAAGTCAGCTGGATACAGCAGACAAGCCCTCATGGGTGCTGCACTTTTGAGAAATAACTTGTTGCTGTATAAATAAAGGAGCCTGTGCGTTACATACTTTGAAGCATTCACACAGTCGACTGAATACATAGCTGTTGTGTTTTCTTTCCTCTTGCAAAAGAATAAACGGAAAAAGACAACTTTGAATCTTGTTAAGTCTTTATTTGTGAACGAAACTTTCTTCCCCTGATTAACATAGACATCTTCCACAACAAACACTATGCTGAGCGTGATATTAAAGCATCCTGGAACACATTTTTAAAACATTATACAACTACACCATTCAAGTTGCCACTCACAGCCAAGGATTTAAAACACATTGATAACCCCTAAACAGGCAAAAGTCTTCTTTATAACAACACACTTTTGAAATTAGAAATTGACAGCAATGAATCTATTGCCTCTATCAAGCGCGCACTTGTCATTAGCGCAAAGCACTCTCGTGCATAATACTCCCCTGATCAATACAGTTACATTGTTGCTTTACACTGTGGTAATAAAACATTTAGATTGTACATATTACCTGTGACTATCTTCATATAACGAGAGAAACAATAGGACGTTTGGCTAATTAGGCTGCTATATAGGCTATTTTAAAGTGATTATAGGTCAATAACATGATTAGCCTACCTGTCAGCAGCGAGAGCAGTGAGAGTGAACACATGCACCCCGACCGAGGTAAGCTGAATGAAGGGGATGACTTTACAGCCCACTCTCCCGAACAGCCACTCCTCTGACAGGTAGCGGCTGGCCTCCACCGGAGCGCATGTCACCAGCAGTCAAACATTCCCGAGCGCGAGGCTGGACATGAAGATATTGGCCACATTGTGGATGTAATTGGCAGAGCAGAACGTCTTGGTGAGCGTGATGTTGCCGATTAGCCCCAAAACACTAATCACACCATAAACTGAAGCGATGACCACACCGGTGAACCACATTGTCCGTGCCATGGAGATTTGTGACGCTTTCGGTACAAATGCTCCACCCCTCAACCTTCTTTTCTTTTTTTAACGATTCAATGTTAACCTATGAAAGATATGGAAGGGCATTTACGTCAGTAAAAAAAAAAAAAAGATGAAAACTGAGTGTAAGTTACTTACACTTTATAAGTGATCTTATTAATTATCTAAAACTCATTAATAATTGGTTTGTAACTTATATAATACTTAATTTACAAATGGGGAATCCATCATTTATAAAGTATATGAAAACAATCATGAAACACATAATAGACAAACGTATTAATCAAGAATAAAACATTTATAACTGTATTTATGAATAGCATGAGTGTTAATGTAGGAACAATGCTTTATAAATTATGAATTAAGTGTTTACTCATTGTGGTGGCGGGGCGTGTGTGGGCTCAGCCGTGGAGGGGACGGAGTGTGGGAGTGGTTCAGGGAACGGTGCCGGGAAGAGACTTAATTACTCCAGTTAATGAACTGTTACTCCAGTTCTGAGGTCTTTGCTCTGGCTTCCTGTCAAACAAAGAATTGACTTTAAAATCCTGCTGTTGGTTTACAAAGCACTGAATGGTTTAGGGCCAAAATACATCTCTGATCTGCTGCTACCTCATGAACCATCCCGACCCCTTAGGTCGTCTGGGACCGGTCTACTTTCTGTTCCCAGAGTCAGAACTAAACATGGAGAAGCAGCGTTCAGTTTTTCTGCTCCACATATCTGGAACAAAGTCCCAGAAAGCTGCAGGTCTGCTGAGACCCTCAGCTCCTTTAAATCAAGATTGAAGACTTTTCTGTGTGCTGCTGCCTTTAATTGAACCAGATTCAATTAATATATTAATCAATTTCCTGCATTTCTGCATTTTACTACTGTATTTTATTTCTTACACTGTTTTTTAATGTTTTCATGACTGTTTTTATTGTTTCAATGAATGTTCTTAATTGTTTTTAAATCTCCTTTACTTTTGCCTTATGTTTTGATGCTTTTATGTGAAGCACTTTGAATTACCCTGTTGTTGAAATGTGCTATACAAATAAACTTGCCTTGCCTTGCCTTAATTAGGCGCAGCTGAAACAGATCCTAACAGTCTTGCCTTGCCTTAATTAGGCGCAGCTGAAACAGATCCTAATTGTCTCACTCTCGGATGTATTTAATCACCAGTAGTGACGGAGGCGGGAGAGAGAGCGCGGCACGAGCGACAGTCCTGCAGTGGGACGGAAAGGACGGGAGACCTCGGCAAACTCCCGCGGTGCGTGCTCGGAGGCAAGGCAGGAGAGCACACGGCCAAGTCCAGTCTGATTGTGACAATAAAGAACGTTTGAAAACGCAATTCAACTGTGTGCTGACATCATTGTGCTCCCAAGAAACCACCGGGGTAGCAGAGAGTCTGTTACACTCATACTTAACGAATGCTTCATAGCTGTAGTTGTTATAAAGTGTTACCAAATTATCCCCTTGGTAAGTTATGAGATTGAAAATCATAATAAGTCATAATTATGAGATATAAAGTAGAAATGATAATATACTTAAACACAACAGTCATAGAAGCATTTCTTTGGAATAGGTTACCCTACATTTGACATTGAAATGTATTGTGAGTACATTGATGTCTACTTTAAACGTGGCTTTGCAACAGATGAAATACTTCAATTGCTTGCTGTTTCACATGGGATTTTACTCACGCACCCTTGAAAGGATTTTAAGCAAGAAGCAGCTCTGGCGTATGAGAATAAAACCGATGTGGCAACCTTCATTGAACAGCAACTGGAAACATCTGGTCAGTGTCATGGTTACAGATGGATGCACCAAACGTGTTGGTTACACTCAATTGTGCCTGAGAAACAGTTATTGGACGGTGAAGGTGTTGATCTTTGTTCATTTCATGTCGAAAATCTGGGTAGTTGACATAACTGACTCCAAGTAACAGCCACATGTGTGAGCAACAGGCCTTCTCTGAAATCCCTGAAGTTGTGTGAAGCTGACAGTGATGCTCTTTCCTGTGAACAAGTCTGATCCTGTGCAAAATCGAAGGAAAAGGGAGAGGTGCTGGGTGTCTGACTCTCTAAGACAGGGGTGGGCAATTCATTTTCTCAAATGCCACATTAGAAACAGGGACTATTGTGGAGGGCCGAACCAATAGACTGAACTCAATCCTGCTCAATATTATTCCACCTCTTTATAAAAAGCAGTAAATTGTATGGTTTTGATAAGCTGTGAGCGGTAAGAGTAAATGTTATGTTCAGTGGTGTAATGTAACTAAGTATATTTGCTCAAGTACTGTACTTATGTACACATTCAAGGTACTTTACTTACTTGAGTATTACCTCATTTTCTGTTTTTCAGTTCATTGCGAGCAATCTAGTCTGTGTTGGGCTTGAACGAGACTTAGGTAAAGTTAAAAAGATATTCAAAGATTCGGACTTCCCGGTTCAATAAATCGTTAGCGAAACGTTGCTAAAATACAAACGATACCTCCCTGTAACCTTAGTGAGGTAGACAACAAGCTACAACCTTAATTTAATTAAAACGGGCCGTCTTACGGACTCCTCCGAGCTGGACAATCGGCATTGGTCTCAATGACACTTAACCCCAAAATTGCCCCCGTAGCTGTGCCTACGGTGTAGAAATGTGATAATACTCTGAATTGTAAGTAGCTTTGGATAAATGACTGTAATGTAATGTCTACAACTCGTATTCTCAGCTCCCTCCACAGATTTTCTATAGGACTAAGGTCCGGAGTCTGGCGAGGCTTCTTTGTTAGTGGGCACTTACAAAATCGGCAAGGGGTAAAATAATGATAAACTTTACTGTATGTAACATTGTTGCAAAAAATAGAGCACAAGTGACTAAAAGCATTTGGAAGACACTTATAAAATAATAATATACTATTATACGACAGCCAGAGCTGCACTTCTCATCGGGAGGCTTTCTTTCAGAAACTGTTAATCATGAATGGCCAGGCCAGAAATGGAACACTCTCAATATGTCCTTCTGTGCAAATGACTGCTTGCAGGCTTTCTGATAATTCAGTCTGAAATGTAACATCAGTAAATACATTGTGATGAGCATTTTCTCTTCTTGTTAGCTGCTCTCTAATATTTTATTATCTCCATTATTTACTTTTTACTAATGTGTATTATACCAGAGTTTATATTATTTGATTTGATGAGAATGGAGAGCCCAAAAAATGAATAAATTAAGACAGATAGTCTTTGTAAAAATGAGTATTTTAGGTAACAATAAAGTCCTTACAGCTTAATTCACAGTAGTAAAATGTCTTAAATAAATTACAAGTACCATCTATTAAATACAGCAGATAGAAAGTTTACACTTCAGTAGGGATTTGAATCTGACATTTGCAATAACCGAAATTTGGTTTAAGACCGAAATAGTAATGTGAGATGGTCAAACATAGGAGAAATAAAGGCAATATAAAATATACAAAAAGTTTCCCCTATTAAAAACCAACAAACATTTTAAATGTGAAGTTAAACCTTCAGATTTGGTCGCTGTGATTGTTACAAGGAATAGAAAAAAAAAAAACGTGGGGTTGAAAGTGCAGAAACAACAAAAAAAATCATTCATACAGTAGAGAGAGAAAGAATCTGCTTCTTCATAATGCAGGAGAAAGTGCATTAATATTAAGGATGTCACGTACTTGTGCTTCTCCAGTGAACTGTGGAGCAGGTGTGCTTCCTATCAAACCTTAAACTCACAGATAATGTCGAGCCTTTACTGAAAGAGGTTTTCGCTATGTTGCACTTTATTCGACATTATCTGAAAATAGTTTGGAATGTGTTGTCAAATAAGACCTTCAACAGTATAGAGCATCAGTACTTGGACTGTCAAGGTTTTATGCTCTTGACGTAGAGAAACAGCAGTGGATCTTTCTAAACGGACAATTAAGACTCGACTCTTGCTTCTTGCCGTCGGCGTTGTCGGAGTCACAGAAGAACCTTTTGTCCCTGAGGCCGGTCAGGTGATGTGACTGTTTTGCGTTCGGCCCGGGAAACCCACCTGTGTGTGGTTACTCTCCACAGCACCGGTGCCAGCAGCAGACTGAGGGTGGTGACACTGAGAACCAGCAGGTACACCTGAGCCGAGAGAGACGTAAAATATAGAGACTGAGAAAATCTACTTGTAGCTTTTTACTATTTCCTACTAAAAGACTAAATTAAGAATTGATTTTAAGTATTTTTGATCAGGACCAGCCTTCAAATAACACAGTTGTTAAATCATGCAAAAATTTATGTATTTTCTGGCCTCTCAAATATTTGCTGCTCTTACACAATTTTTAAGCTGCATATTTATGTTTATTCCAGACAACAAAAAGCGTTTAAAAATGTAATCTTGGGCCCTAGGAAATTGGCATATAGAGTAAACAGCTAATTGAGATATATATATATAGTCATCACTGACCTCTCTCGAGATGATGCCACCCCGACGCGCACGGCTGCCCAAGACGAAGGAGAATTCGCTGACCTGAGCCAGACCGGCTGAGACAATCCAACGTATGTGTCGAGAGCCTGGAGGCAAGATGGCCGACAGCACCAGTACAGCCATCACGAACTGGGAGAAAAATGAGGAGTGAAGCGGAGCGTGGAAAAAGGTGAACTGCAGAAGGAGAGGAGCATAAAGAGAGAGAAAAAAGGTGCTGTACCTTCATAATGACGAGTGAGAGTGTCAGCACCAGCAGGATGGTGAGTTCATACAGCACGAATGTCGGGAACACGTGGAGACCTGCAGCGTCACACAAACAGACGAGGTGATTCGGGGATGTCTCGCCATTAAATAAATGTAACATGATAACAAAGCTGGGGTCTGTCTTAAAGTGACATGTTGCCTCTGACCGATAGAGGCGAAGAAGATGATGGCGAGGAAATCTCTGATCGGCTCGATGCATCCCATGACCTCCGTGGTGACCATGTGACCCTGTGTGGACAGCAGAGCTCCGGCCAGGAAACAGCCCAGCTCCATCGAAACATCAAAAAACTCAGTCACCTGCAGTATCAGTCAGCGAGAGGTTAAATCAACACAAACAGCTTCTTCAGGGGAGATTAAATGATACTGCACCGGGAGAGAAACTACCAGAGGTAATCAACGATTCAAAGCAACGTGCATACCGTCAGCATGAAAAAGACAAAAGCTGCCATCCCCAGCACCAGGATCTCTTTGTTGCCTTTGCTCTCAGCATGCAGCTTCTTGTAATATGGGCCAATCAGGAATGATCTGAGAAACCAACACAGCAGCAGCACAGCAGCCAGAGAGACCAGGACCTGGGCCAGGAGGTAAAGCACGCGGAGACTCCCAAACAGGAGGCTGTGATTCACAAAAGGGAACACCAGATTTAAATAAGCCGGGTGTCTGTTTGGGTGAGAAGAGAAAAAAAATCAAAACAACGACGGCAAACTCACCTGTCCAAGTCTCCACTTTGTGCCTGGATCATAGTCGGCATGACCGCGATGAAGAGACCGAGCTGAACGTCTTGCATCACTAACATCCCGAGGAGAACGCTGCTGTAGTCCAAATCACCTGTCTCACACACACACATATTATTGAGCATTGTGTCATCAAGATTTGCTCTAAATACAATATTTCTAATTAATACATACATACCGTCTTTGTCCCCTCTGCTGGCCCCCGCCAGGAAGCGAGACACTAGCGGAGTGCTGGACAGGGAGAGGCAAGTGGAAATGAAGACAGTCTGGGTGGGTCGGATACGCAGGACTTGTCCCCACAACAAACCGGCCGCAACCATCAGCAGACTCAGGTAGCACGACCCCTGGACTGATGTCTTCCATACCTACACACACACACACACACACACACACACACACACACACACACACACA